GACATTTACCTCTCTACATTTTAAACTTTTTATATTGATTCTTTAGAATGAGATATCAATATTTCAAATGTAGATATTTAACATTAAATTATCTTCATAAATTAATTGAAAATATGTAAAGCCATATTCTAATAGATAGTTATTTTTTTTCAAATTCTTTAAAAAAAAATTAATTAGAACTTCGGGGAAGCTGTCATATTTTGTTTTTAAAGATATTTTTAACTTGTTTTGTTGTTTTTTCATTTTGTGATCAAGTATATTAAAAGTAATATCTTATACTAAAATCAATTTTTTTCATCAAATATTAAAATCAAATTATTCTATAATAAAATAATAAAAGTATATAAAATGTCTCAATAATTTGTTTTTGTGTTGGCGACATACCATTATATAATTTTATGTCATGTTTAATTTATCAATACTTTAATAATACAAGAAAAAATATATATTTTAAAATAATCCACATAAAATAGTTTGAAATTAGTGTTTATTTTGAGTTTTGAATCTCTACTTTATTAATATTGTAAGATCAAATTAAATCAATTAAAAAAATCCAGTTTGTACACTTTTTATAATGTATGGGAACATCTTGAGTAAAATAAATTTTGGATTATAAACCGCATGCATTGTATTATAATTAAACCTTATATGTGAACGCTTTAATCAGTAAAGCATGGTACTAAACATCAATAATTGATACTATGATTTTGTAAGTTTAGGCCAAGCAAAGTAATTTTGACACACTATTGATTAGAAACTATATAAATTTAGATAATATAATCAAATTCTGTAAACCAAATATGTGATCAATCAATTTCAAAAATAATTAAATTTTACTAAATTTTGTATCTATATGTTTATCTATAAATTATTGCATATTTCACTATATAAGTTTTATCTTTTCGGCCATGTATGAACTCAACATTCGGTTTTTTTATAATAGTGGACACGGACTATAATAAAGAGATTCAAGAAGAATACGCCAAATTTTAGAGCGAAATTGAAAATATAATGTAAAAATAAAAATATTTTTATATATCATCATATGGTTCACTTTCATATTCATCATTTAAAAATGATGTTTTAATTTGTATAAAAATAAATTTTGAGTATAAATCATAACATCATCTAATATATCAATGTTAATATACATGTGATACTAATATAATTTTTAAAATAATCTAAATAGTTGTTTTGCACAACGCGTGAATTTTCACTAGTATATTTTTTATTACAGCCGTACAAAATTAGCAACCAAAATTCTTTAT